TAGTACAAGTTTATTGAACCTAGTTGTACGGAGTATGGCGGCGCCACCGCCGTGGCCGATTCACATATATTTATACAAATTACAAACGTCTACTTACAAAATTTATTTCGAAACGTATCCTTAAAACATAAATACGTATAAAACGACATAAATACAGTTGAATTCCGAAAAAAATTCCAGTCTCTTGTTGGTGGGAACTTAATACACGCATTGAATTCGTTGAAAAATCTTCCATCCGCCGCGTGTGAGCGAGACGGCTGCTGATTTGAGCTTGTCGGCGCCTAACTAAACTTAAAACTCCTAAAAACATCGTGACCTTTTAAACTATAAATTTCGAATCAAAATCAAATGAACACAGTATTTAAAAAAAGCTATGCTGTTATATTACATCTGCGTAAAACGTAATTCAAACATGATACCTCAACGAAACTTTAATTATCACTCATATAAAATATAGTAGTGCCGTCTCGCTCACACGCTGCAGTTTTCGGGAAACATATAAAACGATATCAACAATACAATACAAAAAATCAGTCTAATAGTTCCTCTTATACTAATAAAATAACGTCGCTGCTCTGTGACAGGGCAAGCGTCTTTTTTTAAGAGAGGTTTAAACTTATATGTGAATAAATAATTATGTTTTGTTAAAAGAAAATATATTTAAGAATTTTATGGCGTCGTTTTTTTTCTCGACGATTCTACCAGCATCGATGTTATTGTTTGTTGTTATTTATATGGCATTTGACCTTACGGCTATGCCTCAAGTTGAACGTTAAAACGCCATAGAATCTGAAATACAGTTTTGTATAAAAAAGTGCTGTTTTAGGCTTTTAAGTTAAACAGGAGTTGTTACGAGAACGTAATAGTATCAGTTTTTAATCATTTTTAACATTTCGTGTATAGTTGAAGATGCGAGTTTTGAATACATTAAAACCACACAAACCACAGCAAGTCTTACAGATGGAACTGCATTAAAGGAATGTCTTAAAAAAATCAAATACAATTCGCCCTTTAAATTATTACCATATAACTATTATAGAATAACTAAATATAAAGACAGCTGTCGGTATCGCAATCGCGTCACAGAGCAGCGAGGTTCGTCGGCGAACTTTGCTTAGTGCAAAACCAATCAGTTCATTTAGCCAATAGCAGAATCATACTCAACTAATGCAAACGATATCGAACTAAACTCGCTCCCTGGAAGTACGAAAACTCAGTGTTAAGGTATAACAAGGTTCGTTGAGAGACAAAAATTCGTGCGCAAATTCTTTTGTGAGCACAGACCACGCGAACGGTGTTAGGCGAGGGTTAGTCGATGCGAAATGTGAAAGAACTTAATGAGGGCCGTCTTATACTATTCAAGAGCTTGGGCTCAACCAATTCTTGACCCTGGGGTCTACTTTGAAATACTATATTTAAAAAAAAAACAACGGTTTGTGACACTTCAACACTTTACGAGCTTCAGAAGACTTCCATATAAACGGCGTGAAGGATAAAATGTAAATTATTTGCCCTTAAATATACTTTCTTAATGCATTTTAATTGATTAATGCAATTGGGTAAATTACTATACAGGTTTTGGTTAGTCGTGGTAAATAAATAATAAACATTTTAGCCCCAAACTAAGCAACTCGTGTACAATGGGTACTAGATAACAGATAAACTGATATTTAAACATATTTTCTTTTGTAAATCAATACGTATTATACATACACAGCGTGTAATTACAATCGCGACAATAAATGAACACACATATAGAGGATAACTTTTTAAAATTGTATTAAGCATTTACATTCTTTAAACATCAATATTTACCGAGTTATTAAATTTTACAAAACAAACATTTTTAAAACATCCCTTCGTATAAAACTGTAACGTAAAGTTCATTTGTAAAGGTCACAAAGTATATGAATGGGTTGAATGAATTTAAAAGAGACAAAACGTACTGTTAGAAGGAGAGACTTGTAATGCGACGTTGTGGCAACGACTGAAAAAGTCGCTGAATGTATGAATCAGTCAGTTGTAGTTGTATAGGATGTTACAAATTTTGTTTCTTTTTTATTCAATTACTTTGTTGGAAAAATATATTTTTTATTATGGATTTTTTTAACGTTTTATTTTTTTAATGATTATTAGCAAGTAGCGTTAGACGTGTGTTAATTTACTGTCGCGGTTGTAACGACACGCTGTATAAACACCCAGACACTGGAAGAACACTACGTTCGTCACACAATATTTTACCAGTAGCGGGGATCGAACCCACCACCGTTGGCGAAAGAGGCAGGGCCACTAACCACTAAGCCAATCGGGTCGGAAAGGAAAGACGGCACTGTTTATCGACTTACCACATTTCGCCGCGAATCTCGCCCCACACCGTTCGCGACACGTGTATTTCCATACGAAACTATCCTTAATTACAGTACAATAATAGAAAAATATTTAAAAAAGAGGAGATATTTACACGAGGCCTTATTGATTTATCGAGTGCGTTTGGTCTCTGTTAGTACGGTAGAAAACTGTATCGAATGTTATACTGGGTCGGCAGTTTAACTAGAACGTGGTTCAAAAATACAGTGGCCGCTATACATTTATCTTCTCTAACTAGTATTAACAAATGTCCCTCCCGGTGCTACAATTGAGACGGTACCTCTAACGGTGACTATAGAAATATTATACAATATCAAAAGACTGTGTACAAAATTGAATCTTACGCCTAAAGTATTACGGTACAAAATATTTACAAGTTGTAGAGGATAAGTTAAACAGTTGCCAAGCAAGCGACGCTCTGCAAATTGTGTGCTGTATCAAAATCCAACTGGAAATTACTGAAATTATTAATAAATTTATATACGTACATAATATTTCATAAAATCCGCACCAAAGGCTTGCCCTATGCGTATACGTTTATAGTCGCGGATTTGAGTAAATGACTTTTGTCGTTTTTAACACATTACTTAAAGAATGAGCATAACTTAAAGACTGGAACACATTGACAGATTTTTTTCTGTCTTTTTGTTTACTTATAATTATAAAATAATCCAAAATAATATTTAATCTATCAAATACATGTTTGATATTCTGATTATTATTTTTCTATTTAATTGTCTTCAAATGAAACCGTTTTAAAACTACATATTTTTAATTTTAACATAATCAAGTATGGAAGTGATACAAACATGTAAGTTTATGTATTTCACTAATAATTTTTACAATTAGATGTGTTAGATTTGTTAACGCTAGCTCGCTATCTAAAATGTCCGAACGAGAAATGCTATTTTACAGCTAGTAAGAGAAACAGATGATTTATCAAATTTCATTAAAAATTAAGCCGCAATCTGAAGTAAGTCTACAATATTATATAATTAATAAAATAGCATTATTATTCATAAAGAGAACATCTAGAGATTTTTAATCGCTTTCCACTTTTCTAGTAACAACAATTATTTCATTGCTTCCTTGTGAAATGCAAAGGAATACTACATCATAACCCCCTTTTTGAAGTCGGTTAAAACGCGGCGGCACTCGCACTTGGCGTAGCCGCCTCAAAAAAGAAATCAATATTACGTAAGTTTTTTAGAAAACATTTGTTACGTGTAAAATCTTTTAAAAACGTATAAATTAAATGAGACCGATTTTATTTGTTCATCATTAGATCCGCCGCCGTAAAATCCGCATTCGAGAAACTCGCACGCGGATCTCCGGGGGCACTTACGTTTATTTTTATTATTTTACTTATTTTTTAGTATCATTTATCCTAAGCAGGTGTATATTTACATACGAATTAACGATTAATTAAATCAGTATTATACATTTAACTGTTTTACATTTTACGGTTTTAGGCAGTGGTCGAACTAAGAATTGCGATTATCCAGCTTGGATTAGTTGCGATTCCCACAGCACTATCGCTCGTATAATTTTAAGTTTTGATGTTAAGTTTCCTTCGATATTAGATCAACTTAACTTAGAACATTTGTTACATGTTTTAAGTATGTGTGAAGAGGTCAATTTACGTTTACAAATTACATCGAAACACCTTTTTCATGTTTTATTTAGTATTCAACTTTTAAGGGTGATGATTTTTTTCGTTTTAATTAACCCACGCGCGTGCTTAAATTGACGGTTTCAATGTCCACTTCACCTTCTATATTAACGTATTATAAAAACATTTCAAAATAAGTCTTTATTTCATGTCACTTAATAATTACATTATAGCGAGTTGTGAGCAATTCCTTAATCAATTCGTTAGGACCGGATATTCGTTTTCATAGATAGTTATTTATTGGTCATTAATTATATTTTATAATAACATCAGTCATTTAGGCTCCTTTTCACTTTAATATTAGTATTTTTAATGTATGTATTTTAATAGTTTTTTTAAACGGAATATTTATAAGCGTGCTATATATAGATATATTTTCACGTTGCAGAAGCAACCATAAACCATTGTATAGCGATGCAATACTATGTTTTTGACTCTCTTTATTTGTTTATGGACATGTTTGATTCATTTCATCTACGGCAATTTTTTCAAAACACGTACGCGATACCGTTGAAGTTTACAATTTTAGTGTGTCTATTTTTATATAAACTTCATTGAAATTGTCAGTGAATTTACATTAATCTTCTCATTCGCAAAGAGTTCTTTAGATAGTTTATATTAAGTTCAAACTTTTTGTATAACTAACTCTTTTGTAATAAGAGAGACAACGTTGATAATGAATACAAGCCAAAGAAATAATGAAGAATGAAAGTCATCACGTTTTACATTATACCACGCATGTCAAAATGTGGTTTCGGTATTTTACACAATTGAGAATATTTATTAAGTCATGAGACGTGTCAATAACTTTAGAGTTGATGCTTTATCGAAATTTGTGATGGCATTTTTATGATTATTCTGCGCAGGTGACTGTGTCGAGTTGAGTTCGTAAAACTTAGCAGGTCCTTCGTAACCGGATGTGTATAGGTTTGTCGGCAACTTGTCCCAGATGTCGCCACTAGCAATGGAACTGCTGCTGCGTGATGGCGGATAGATCCTTCATGAGCCCCTCGAGGTTCTGCATCTCGCGGTGGAGCCTCTCCGTGGACCTGGACGGCGTCAGGGGCTCCAACTCCTCGGAGCAGTGGGGGACACCGCCCCCTGGCAATGTAACAAATGAAGCAAACGGTATAAGCAACACAGCCAACGATGTTTTAATGAAGATGACATATGTCCATACGCGCGGCGTTTGAAAACCGTCCCGCTTTACATTATATGACATACGTAAGTGAATGTGACGATATAGAACGTATGATACGGAAAGAGATTGCAGTCTATAAAATTGGAATCTAAGTAAACCGATTGGCGTAATTTTTAAATAACTATATCTTCATCGTATTCGTGTATGTCAATGCATTCGTTTGATGTCAAGTGTTGTATGTTGATAATTGGCGTCTATGTCACTTCGTTAAACTCAAGAAAGTGTTATGACCGATTGGAATCAAATCTGTTTGCTTCACGATTCATCTATTGTATAACTATGCTACATCTATGTATACCATTAATAATTCGGGAAGTTAGATCAGCCTAGTATTTTGAAATCAAATGAGAAACTATCGATCTAGGCAACGGACATGTACAGCTTACCAAGTTGCAATCTGTTCGGTATGTGGCCGGGAGATGAACTCGCGCTCTTCTTGTATGGCGATGTCTCTCTCACACTCCCCGCTGTTAGAGAAGGAAGACAAGATTTCAATTATGTTCTTTATGCACTACATCCACCACATGAAAAAGAAACTGCGGTAGAGCCACGCAGCAGCCTCTTATGTTGGACGAATTGGTATGGCCTATGGCCATCCGGGGAAGTACCTCGGCCTCACAGAAGACCGGACTGAAGTGGGAGTTACACTTTCGCGTTTTGGCTGGTTAGTGAGGTAACCGGGACCAACTTTTTTCAAATTTGGAAACGTATTTGAAACCCGTCAGGTGTTGCTGAGTTGCCCAGGGAATTTATTTCAGTTATTACATAAATATATGAAGTTGTAATTAACAATGTGTGGTTGAGTATATTTAATTAAAACTGAGCTATACAAGTGCCCGGACACTGAGCTATCACAGCTCAGTGTCCGGGCGCTCGCATTTCATTCAATATACTCGAGCAACCTGAGTTCGATCCCCGGTGCCAGCACCAATGAAGTTTTTAACATTAAGTGCTGAATTATCACGTGCTCCGCTGTGAAGGAAAACATCGTGAGGAAACCTGCATATTTCTCGAAGATATGTGAAGTCCGACAATCCGCGGTGGGGCCGCTTGGTGGGCTAGGTGAGGCTGAGCCGAGCTAAGCTATGATTACGCAGCTGCTTGTAGAGTGTGATATTTTCGCTGATGGTCGCTCTCACGCTCATAAAGACTAAATTACCCCTTACAAAGGGAAGAATAGAAAGAGAGAAAGAGAGGGAGAGAGGGGTCGTTCACCTTTGGAGTGCGAGGGCGTGGAGTGGTCGGAGCCGTCGGCGGAGAGGGTGAAGCTGTGCATGGGGGGCGCGCAGGGGGCGCGGCGCTGCAGCGAGCCCGCGCCGCCCCCCAGCCCCACGCCGCCCCCGCCACCGCCGCCACCCCCACCCCCACCGCCCGCGTCGCTGCTCAGCGAGTCGCGACTGGAAATAACTTACTGTGAACACCTTACAGGGTATAATACTACCGACAACTAGTGCCCATCCCACCTACGGTTGGCACAACGTGTGAATCATGTTTTCATCTCAAGTTTTATTAGCACCATAAAAATGCGTCGTGCTGAGTGGTTGGCATCCTTCCACATTCCTCATCGTGTGGTGGGTGGTATGAGTGGAGCCGTCTGATGTGGGTGTCACTCACTGCGTGTAGTGGCCGAGGGGCTCGTACGCGACGTAGTGGCCCCTCTCGCGGGCCGCGCACGCGTACACGTCCGAGCCCGAGCCCACGCCCACGCCCACGCCCGGCGCTGAGCACGCGGCGCCCAGCGGACACGCGCCCGACCCGCCTGTCGTATAAATATTGCTAATGTGGGATCGGAACAAAACTCATCCTGCAATTACCCATTGAGTAGGGGTTTTATATCACAGAACCCAAGTGTTTTAATAATTTACTCAATATTAAAACTTTTCGTTGGAAGAATATTAATTTTAGGAGATATTATGTCGTCTTATCCCTATAAGATATTAAATATTATTTGTTTATTACTACTCGTTATACAACGAAGTTTTTCATACGATTTTACGAAATAATTTCCGCGAGTATCAGTTTACCCTTGCCTAATTTTAGCTAATTCTTAAATTTCCACACAAAATTCTAAATAAATATACAAAGGAGATTAGGTAAGATTTTCATACACTATTGGAAGAGCAACCTTTGAAAATACACCACGGTCTAAACCGCTATTTAATATAAATGGAATTTAGTCGGCTCGTAAGTGATTAAATCTTATTTACACAGCAATAAGGTTCAGTTTACAGATTAGATGAGTTAAAGCTATTCAGATGCCACTGAAGAATGATTCTTCGCGCTGTGATCATAAAGTGCATAACAGAATGGCGAACTGACAGGGCGCGGGCGGCGGGTGGTGCGGGTGCGGGCCCAGCGAGGCCAGCGACGACTGCGGCGAGCCCAGCGGCGCCACGCCCGCCAGCAGGGGGGTGCTCTGCAAGGGGGAGGGGGTTCGAGCTCGTGTTAGGTACGTTGACACGGTTTTTAACTGTGGTAGGGCCACGCGGCAGCCTCGGCCGTTGCACGAACGGGCAGGCCCGTCCGGGTAAGTACCACGACCTCACAGAAGACCGGCGTAAAGTGGAAGTATGATAAATACTTTCGCATTTCTGGCGAGTGAGGTAGCCGGAGCCGAAATTTCAAAAGGTTGTCAACGCATCTGGAACCCTCGGGTGCAGCAGATGTCCGTGGGCGGCGGTAATCACTTAACATCAGGTGAAGTGTCTGTCAGTTCACCTGATCTTTAGTGATTGTAACTCCTGAGGGATTGCAGATGCGTTGATAACCATTAAAATAAGTGGGCCCCGGCTACCTCCCGCACCGGACAAAACGCGAAATTATGCGCTGTAACTCCCACCTCACGCCGGTCATCTGTGAGGCCGTAATACTTTGCCGCACGAGCCTGCCCAATCGTGCAACAGCTGAAGCTGATGCGTGCCCCTACCACAGATTATACTTTTCTTTTGAAAATAAATACACATAATACATATATAGAACACCACACATACACCCCGACACTGGAAAAAGACTGTTTATAACCCAATTTTCTGGTTATAAACATAGTCATAAAACCTGCCAAGAGGCAAGTTCACTCTTCCCCGCAATCAATGAATAAGCTTTCTTCATCCACTGCTGGACGTAAATGTTACTGAATAAAATTAATAACTATAAAACATAGAAGTTGCAGACCATTATCAGCGTAATTTACATATTTCCTACATTTATTTATTTCAATAACAATTTAAATTCAATATCTATCCAATAATCGATTCGTAAAAATACGTAGACATAAAAAATCGAGCAGCATTGGCAAAACACATATTAGCTGAACAAGGTATTGTAAGGCATTTCAGTAATTAATAATTAAAAAATAAATATTAGAAATCTTATTTAGCAAAATAAACATTTATTACATGTAACATTTAAAAAAAAAACGTATAAATGAAATGAAACTGAGTTTATTTCTTCATCATTAGATCTGTCACCGTAAAATCCGCATTCGAGAAATTCGCACGCGGATCCCCGGCGATACTTAATTTATTGTATTTTTGATTGTTTTAAGTATCGTTTAAGCTTAACTGTTGTATAATTTAGATATGAATTAAAGATTAATCTAACCAATGATGAATGTCTCGGTTGGCCCGTCCTTACCTGATCGGGAAGGCCGTGCCGCCGCCGCTCGCAGGTGGCAGCGCAGCCCACGCCCACGCCCACTCCCACACCCGTCATGGCTGCAATGCAAAATCATTAGATTGATTTAATTATTTATTATTAATTGATACTGCTATATCGCCATGTTTCACTTGATAACAGATGATACCAATTGCATAGGACATGTTATAATTGCGGAAGAAGTTGAAAGTAACATTTAAAATGCTTATAGGTACTAATTTTTCCAACCGAAAAATAATAAATTTTGTTGAAATAAAAAACTATACAATGATACTTATGGAATGAAATTATAAGGACAATGATATGATTAAAATTAGAGACAAAACATTATTTTAACATGCAATAGCTCCTCATCTTTAACTTCTAGCGGTGGGCACGAAAGAGTACCATTGTTGTGTACCGTGCGGACGCACAGATTGCCACCGTACTCTCGGTACAAATGTTCATGTGTACTTTTTGTACATATGTGCAGAGGTTAACTTGTCCGTGGCGAGGCTTCGCGGGAGCTTCTTGGCGCGGCGTACTCACTCCAGTAGTCGCTGCGGTCGCATCGGCGACAGGCGGAGGCGGAAGCGGACGCACACGCGGAGGCGGGAGCGGGGGCGGGCGATTCGCGCATCACGGCCGTGTCGTCGCTGCCGCTGGTGGCGCGCGACGGCGACCGTCGCGAATCTAAGCGTGCACGGCCAGAAACGCTAAGTGTGTGGTGGGGCGGGGGCGAACGAAGAAGCGGCAAACCATATGGGAACAAATATGAGCAAATAAAAGAAACATGGGGGGGGGGGGGGGGGGAGTGCGTGACTGACTACGCTTACCTTTGGCCGGCGGGTCGAGGCTGAGTACACCACGTGGCTTTAGAGTCTATCTGATATACCTTCGGCCTTTCGTGCTTCCGTTGCTGTAATGAATGCGATCTAAACTCACCGTCACGCGCTCGCAGGGATAGCTTCAGTGCGTACGACCAGAATTGGTAGAGCCGCAGCGAGGGCGGGCGCTCACTCACCGACGTATGTGGGCACGTAGTGGCGGCGGTCCAGCGAGGCTGGCGGCGGCGCGTGCCGGGCCGGCTCGTACTCGGCCGCCGGCGCCCGGCCCAGCGTCAGCGTCGACGACACCAGCGCGTTGGGCCCGTCCACGCTGCCCGCCGAGACTGCGGGACGACAGGCTCATTGCGGTACTATCCGCGACAGGCTTACCGCCACGTCTCTTGCGGGAGCGATAGGCTCCTCGCGACAGGCTTACGGCCTCATCTCTTTCGGAAATAAAAGGCTCCTTCTTTTTCTACTCGCGAGTGGATTATTTGAAGGGGTAGAACTTAGGACCCATAGCCCGCGTGGCCAAAATCAACAAAGGCGTGGACCAAGACTTCAAATACCAGTAAATCGATCAATGGATATTTTTAAATTAAATAACCTTAGATATCAATATGACACAAGTATAACGTAAAGTATATCTGGTCCTTCGAGCCGGACCAATAGAATACATTTTATTAGAATTAAAATATGTAAACTAGTTGGTCGTACTCTTACTGGCGGAGCTGTGCAGGCTCTTGTCCATGTGCTTCAGCTCCATCTGGTCGTGGTGTATCCAAAGGTCCGGCGGTTTGATGGCCGCCGAAGCGGAGGCCTTTTGGTAGGTACTGAAAAAAAGTACTTTTATATAGTATATAATTGTTTAACTACTAAGAGTTATAAAGAACACCAAAATATTATTTTGATAAACAACGAAAATTTTTGCGGGTTCCAACTTCTTCATTCAAAAACAAGTAGCGAATAATGAGTAAAGATTTTAAAGTAATACGCTACTCGTAATAAATTTTAAGGCACTAAATAAAAGCGTTCTGCTTTAGTGCAAATTCTTGTAAAGAGAGATTTTTAATAACCATTAACAAAAATTATTCACCAGTCTAAGCAGCTTTGTTTTTTAGAATTATATTTAAACTAACATCTGTGATCAGCTAACGACAGCTAGCATTATATCCTCAAGCGGAGATTGACGACATAAACAGTTAGTAACGGAATGAACCCGGCCTGCTCTGTCGCCAAATTTAGAAGTGGAAATGTCGTTATCTTGTCCTTCTCCAATATTCGAGGGTCTTTCGAAGAGTAAGTGCTGGTCACCTGGTGTCGGGCGACAGCGGCGGCGAGTGGCGGCGGCAGCAGAGCGAGAGGGCCAATGCGGCTGCCAGGGCCAGCACGGCGCAGGCGCCGCCAGCGCTCGCCCACAGCCAAGCCGACGTTGCGCTTGCCAGCCCGCCACCCTCACCCGTCTCTGTCGCACGCGTACGGTTGGAAAGTGACAGCTCATTTTCACAGTTCACTGTTAGGCATAGTCTCACTGTTAGGGTTAGGCCTTTGCTAAGCTTTGCGCTGATTAAATATTTCGCACGCACGCGATTAAAAAGTGACCGATTACATTACTCATTAACTATCTCTATCGTACGTGTACGGTTAAAAAGTTACTGTTGGGACTTTCTAATCGAACCCATGTCTTTCGTATTCGCGCCGAGACGTTTTAACCACTGAGCTAAACGGCTGATTGCCATACTGGCGAGAACTTTCCTTAGTTTTCAAATTTGTAATGTATACAGCACTTAGCACCCAAATTGGAGTCAAATAGCGCAAAATCGACACAAATGGGCATCTATGGAGGAGGCCTTCAACCAAACATGGATTTGTACAGTCGAATCGAAGTAAAAAAAAAAAGAATAAAAGTAAAAATAATGTACTGTGCGGGAAATTAAAGGCTTTTATTTATTTATATAGCACTCACCCATGGCGGTAGTGTAGACCACGGGCGCGCTGAAGGGGCCCAGCCCCTTGCTGTTCCTGGCCTGCAGCTTGAAGACGTAGGTGGTGCGCGGCCTCAGCCGGTCCACGCGCGACCTGGTGCGGTCCCCCAGCACGGCCACCGCCGTCCACTCCTCGGGCGCGCCGGACGCGCCCGCCGCGCCGGGCCGCTGCACGGCGTACATGATCACGTAGCCTGCGAAATAGCCCACACTGGACATGCTGGGCAAAGGCCTCTCTACCGCACTGCGAACCTCTCTACTCATCTAGAAGAATACGCCGAGTCTTTTTATGTGAAAAAGTGGCAAACGAGGCGGTTCACCTGATGTCAAGGTTACCCGCCGCCCATGAACATTTACAACACCCGTAGGGTTGCAGTTGCGTTGCCATCTTTTTATAAAGCGGGCCACGGCTACCTCACTCGGAAGTGTAACACTTCTACTTGACGCCGGTCTTCTGTGAGGTCGTGGTATTAACCCGGACGGACAGCGAACACTGTTGCGTGGTCTGTGCACAGGGTATTAGAGCTTATTTCACCACTGCGGATTCGTGGACTTCATATATCTTCGGAATATTTTTTTTTTGGTATTATTTCAAAAATATGCTGGTTTCCTCACATGTTCACTCCTAATTTTGATTTCATGTATCGTTTAATAGTAGAATCGCATTAAGTATTTCTTGTGTGAACAGTGTAATCTCCTCTCAAATGCCTTCCTAACAGATGACGTTCTATTTGGATGGCGAAGACAAAGGACCCCGATAATACATCGTCGTCAACTCCGGTGTTAGACGCCATATTAAAAACTCGCACGGCATAGTTCCATACGTCAAGGCCAGGTGTCTTAGCACCCGAGAGGAGGAGGCCTGAGAAAAGAAGAATGCGTCTTCCCAACTGATGCGTCAGAGACAGGTGCAATATAAGAAGTTCTTTTCCAGCGTGCTAGGAAACTGACCTGTGAGTGGGCCGTTGGGCTTGAGGGGGGGCGCCCAATTGAGGTCTGCGGCGCGTGCGGGGGGCGCAGCTGGTGAGACACGCAGCTCCCTGGGCGCGCTGCCAGGCGCCGCTTCCAGGGTCGTGTTGCTCACCAGCATCGACCACGCCGACTCTCGGCCTCCTGAACCATATGTAAATTAAAACTAAATTAATTAATAAATTAAAACTGAAACGGACCCAGGACTGATCCCTGGGGAACACCCGTTTGTACCACTGAACTCGATGACGATATAAAGTTCATGATTACTTTTTGTTCCCTGTCTGTAAGATACGAGGAAACTAAATCAATGGCAGATTTGCAAATAGCATAATATTTCAATTTTCTAGTAAAGATTGTATGATTTATACAGTCAAAAGCCTTGGAAAGGTCACAGAACACACAAATAGTGTCATGGAAGTCTTTCCAAAAATTTTGGTATCGACATATTCCTTACCTTATCATTATTCAGATACTTACCCTTGATTAGTTTGACGGCGAATTCGTACGTAGTATACGGTCTCAGGTCGTCCAGCATGCAGTTGAGGTCGCTGGCGTTGTAAGTCCGCGCCCGACCGCCGCTCGTCGACCAGCGGACCACGTAGCGTCTGCCGTCGGTGGCGGTCTACCATTGACAATAACAATTGTATACTTAATATCATATTATTCACACATTTATAAATAAATTATTTAATACGATTTCAATATCATTGTTATATATTCTGTCTGTGCCAAGTGCACACAAGTGAACGGCTCGGGTGGTAAAAATCTTCCGAAGGCATTGCTTCTACTTCACGTTGGTTCTCCGTGGTACACCTGGTCGAGCCCGTTCAAGTGCCAGCAAATACTGTTGCGTGATTCGACCACAGTTGTATATCGAGAAGCACTTTTAATAAATCTAGTTCTTGTTTTGTCTCTCATTTCACTGCGATCTGTCACCAAGGGGACATTTATCAGTGGGTTGGATGGGTTTGTTACGGGCATGCTTGGTATGCGACCTGTGTCGCATCCAATAAATCTAGTGATGTGATAAAATTGGCATAAAGCAGTGTTTTATTTATCTGAGAAGGAGGCAAGCGAGCTGGCGGTTCACCTGATGATGTTAAGCGAAAATCACCACCCATTTACATTTGCAACATCTGTAGGTTTGCAGATGCCTTATAAAGAAAGTGTAGGGGCTAACTCCTAACACCGGATTTGATGTTATAAATGATAATAGATACTGATATGAAACACTTTATTACTAAATTGATACATATAAAATGATACTTATAATACGATATGATATTTATGATAGTTATGATATTTTGAGAACGCGTGACATGCTTGATGACCGAACGTGAACTGATTGATTCTCGCGGTATATTTTAATGCTTACAACGTATTGATGGACTTTAGGTAAAAAGTGCAAACAAAGCTGTTTGGTTCAATATTGGACCGAACAGAAAGCGAGCCCCGGCTATGTTCGTTATGAGTAATTTAGAACACTACATCTTCATTCAAATGATACAGGACAACATAAAAGTATAATTAGTCCTACTTTCATTCAAGTCTTCTTGAATTTCTATGCAACTTCTTGGTTAGGCTAGCTCATTCATGCTATATCAGAAACTGTTGCTTGGCGAATTAGAATACGACAATGAAAGAATTATGAAACGTTTAAAATACAAGACTTATTTCGGGGTCATAAATAGTGACAGCAATAATTTTTAACCTAAACAGTATTTTCAATTCAGTGAGTACATGAATAAGAGTAACACACCTGTCCCTTAGGAAGCGTGGGGTCTGTCCAGTATACAACAGCCGTGGTTCCGCTGAGCATTATTACCTGAAATTGATTGTTTTACATTCAAGAGTGGGAAGACAAATGAAGTAGCCGACTTGATTTATCCTAAACGACCATATCGTAGTAATAGAAGCATCCCTCTATCTTATATGTCACTACTTAACCGAAATAGGACAGTGCTTTACGTCATAATCCGCCACGCGATCCGATTGTGAATGGGCAGATTTCACTTATGTTCGTAATATTTTTTTTATTATTTATTTTGAAGATATGTAGTTTATCCTTGCGATTCTTCAGTAACACTTGGTAAATCGATACTCAAAATGCTCTCTTATGCTATTAACACTCAGGTTGCTCGACTATTGAGTAGCTCTTTGGGACTTAAGTATAGCAGGCCTCTCAGCTTAGTGGCTTAGATGTGTAGTCCGGAAGGCGAAAGTTCGAATCCACATTTCTACTTTCAACTTAACACAGGCTAGCGGTAAAAATAATAAATGAAGAAGTAGTATAGTATAGAAATCATTGACATAGGATAACGTTATCGTGTTACTGTGAGGAAGTTTTACATAGATCGATTTTCATTATAAGTTTCAACTGGACATACATCTATTTGCAGTCATTGTCCCGAGTGGTGATCGAACCCACTACCCCCGGCGCCGAAGCCACTGGCAACCGCCCCATGGAGTGATCGTCCCGCGGCAGCGTCGTACCTTGAGGCCGACGGGCGGAATGAGCGGCGGCTGGTCGTCGCCGTCGAGCTCGTCGTCCGCGTCGGGCTCGTCGGGCTCCTCGGCGTCGGGCTCGTCGTCGGCCGCCAGGGCCGGCCGCGTGCGCACCGTCGCGTACACCGCCGGCCCCAGCCCCAGCGCGTTGCCCGCCCGCAGCGATATCACGTACTCCGAGTTCGATTCTGGGTTCCGCACGGTACATCATTCGAGTAACCTCCCGGACTACTCGATATTCCACGTTTTTAACCGACTTCAAAAAAAAGGAGGCTATCAATTCGGATGTTTATATATCTATTTTTTATGTATGTTCAGGCATAACTTCGTCATATATAGACGGAGTTATGCCCGAACATGGTCCCCTATTCCCGGATTCCGAAATGGTCCCATATAAATTTCATATAGATCTGATGATGACTTTCGGAGATAGCAACGGAACTCTTCGAAATATGACAGGAAATCAACCGCGATTGCTGCTATCGCATAAATATGCATTATTTTTTGAAGTCGGTTTTCTTTTTATGTTAAAAACTTTTTTAGTCTGTTTTTTATCTACGAGACAAAATTGACACACGCAATTGTCAAATTTACACGTAATGTTGCCACTTCTTTTGTGCAGTGGTGTACTTACAATGCCGGTTAGTTGAATTGTAACTTTTTATCTGATTTTATTAACGTCAATTTTTGATAGCAGTACATCACTATTTAAAAATAGCAAAGAAAAACCACGTTACGTCAGGTTTGTCTCAGAGATTAAAAAACGTACTATAGATAGTGTTGCAAAAGTAATGGAAGAAAATATCATTAGAACATTACTATTAACGTTACACAAAAAAAAATTGCCATAAGATAGTGTGTTGAATATTATCGATACATTGTTGATTAAAAAAAATTAAACTATAAAAAAAAAAAAACAGTCTACAACAATTTATGTATTAGGATGAGTATGAAGCCACCGTAAGTGGAACACAAATTTCCAATAAAATCAAAAGGTGTAGTTTAAAATTTTAAATTGTCAAGCTTTACTTCACTGTTTATTTAAAAAAACGGAATTTAGTTCGCCGTCTGACGAAAGCTGGCTAATCGGAGCGACGCCGGACTGTCCCCCCCCCACTCCCCCCGCCCCCCCCCCCCGCAGGGCTGCACTGACCCAGGTTGCGGATGACGTAGGAGCGCAGGTGGGCGGGCAGCTCCTGCGAGCGCTCGTCGGGCACTCCGAGCCCCCACCCCAGCCAGTAGCCGCGCACCAGCGCCCCCTCCTCCGCCGCGCCGCCCCCCCCGCCCTCCGCCTCGCCGCCCCACCACACGGAGATCCAGTCGCGCCCCGCGCGCGCTGCACACCACAACGGACCCTCAACGGTTACCCTCATACCTAACACCGCCCCGCCACGTCCGGCCCCTACATCACCAACACGAGACCTGCGCCCGGCCTACTGACAATTTTTTTTAACTCAAAACTGGCCAGCGCTCGACTGCCATCCCGCCCGATGGTAAGTGACGATGCAGCCGTTGATGGTAAGCGCGGTAGCTAAGCGAAAACCTATTCACTCTTGCCTCGAAGACGCAGAGTTACGACGCCGCGCGGGAAAGAGAGTCAAGAAATGCAATTTTTTTTATCTGTCGTATTTAATTTAGCGTATAAGTTTGCGTTTAACTTTCTATTTAGGTCTCTAGTTAATAAGTGGTTTGTATTTTAGTAATTTACACAGATTGAAATTAGTTAAACATTTACAGTGAATTTGATAGGCGAGAATGGAGAAGACATCAGAAATAAACGAAAAACGTTAAATGCGTGTTGCGTTTGGTTCGAATTGACGAACGAACAAATGAATTTTGTAGTGTAGAAAGAATGAACTAATGACAGATGAATGCATTTATCAGTGGTTTAAATGAACGGCTGAATGAATGATATACAAGATGAATGAATGAACGATACGTTAAACGCTGGAGGTTCACTAACTGGTGAGCTTGGGCGGTGGTGCTGGCACCCGCGCCTCCCCGTGCTCCCGAGCCTGAGTGGTGACCGTCACCCACTCGCTGAACGGCCCCGAGCCGTTAGCGTTGATAGCGCACACGCGCACCTGCAAACAAAAGCCCACCATCCATTGTAGGTCGTCCACCTCAAAGGCTTGAGGCTGCGCCCTTATTGAAATAAAACTAATTAACTGATTGATTCGCATTCAATTATGATCACGGGTTAGTCGTATATACAGCGTGTCTTTACAATCGCGACAAAAATGAACACACATATAGGGGATAATTTTTTAAAACCGTATTAAACATTTACATTCTTTAAACATCAATATTTACAGAGTTATTAAATTTTCCAAAACAAAGAATTTTAGAACACCCTTACGTATAAAACTGTAACGTAAAGTTCATTTGTAAAGGTCACAAAGCATATGAATGGGTTGAATGAATTTAAAAGAGACAAAACATACGTTTATGTATATACAATGTTAGAAGGAGAGGCTTGTAAAGCGACGCTGTGGCGCGAGTTGTATAGAGGATGTTACACATTTTGTTTCTTTTTTACTTAATTAGTTTGTTTGAAAAATATTTTTTTTAATTATGGATTTTGTTTAACGTTAATATTTTTTATGATTATTGGCAAGTAGCGTTAGAAGTGTGTTCATTTATTGTCGCGATGGTACCAACACGCTGTATAGACCATAGACTATATATACTACTATACTAACATGACCATAGACTTTGACTAAAAATACCATGTACTATGCAGTGTTCGGAACGTCTGGAGTGTTTCTCGACGTTTCACCATAATTAAACGTCCTTAAGGTAGTTTTATTTACTAGTTTTGATCAATGTAGCGGAAAACCGAGCGGATCACGAACGTTATTAGTACTTAGTGCTCCTCAGTGAATAGTAAGTTATAAATGTAAAGTTTATCGCATTTATGTAAATTAATCGACGTGCTATAAAATGCATTCTAAGAACACCTGTTATTTGTTCAATGTTTGATTCGACGTTAGTGTCAAATACGGGTTCTTACGTACTACATTAGATACTACTGATGCGTAGGGTCACCTGGTAGACGGTGGCCGGGTCGAGGCCCCGCAGGTCGGCGCGGCGGGCGTCGGCGGGGGTGGTGAGGCTGCCGGCGCGGCGGCGGGCGGAGGCGGGGCCCCCCCGGTAGCGCACCTTGTACCCGGTCAGGGGCCCGCGGTGCGTGCGCGCCGAGGGCGCCTCCCAGCGGACCACCACCGACTGGGGGGCAATTACACGTGCTCGTCTACGCTGCCATAGGGGGCGCGCGGGTGCGGGTATCGGGGAATCGAACCCCATGACCCGCGCTTTGTCTCCGACCAACGGACCACGATCGAGTGTGGTTGTGTGGTGCCAAAAAACTACACGTGGTGGACTATACTGAACTAGGAGTCGGCCAAGCAAAGAAGAAAAGTCTCCAGGCTCCTTAAATGTAGTTAAAAGAAGAACGCCTGAAGTATACCAATGTTGAAATTCAATCTCGTACATATAGATGAAAATCGAGACCAAACAAATCGAATTTAAAATTACTTAAAATTTTTATAGCCCTAAGAGGCGGTGGTATATTGTTCCAGCATTTAGACGCGGCGTACTTAAAACTTCTTCTGAAGGAAGCTGAGCGGTGTTTATGGTTGATATCACAAAAATTACCTAGTTATTATGGAAAGATACACTTATACATTATAAAATAGGATTTTAGTTGCAAATAAAGTTTTGAATTGCACTTTAAATTAAATGTGGAACAGTGGCTCGGCCTAGTTTTCGACATCGACATCGGGAAACACCGTGTGTAGCAATGGGGTCCCCATAAAAACTAAAGTGACTCGGCTTAGTTTTTCGTCGAAATCCGGGACACCCTGTACAGCAAGGGGGAGGGAAAAGTGTGAATGAGTACCGTGGCGCCGCTGGGCACGGCCGTGACGTTGGCGGGGGGCGCGGCGGGCGCGTCCTGCGGCGTGCGCGCGCGCAGCTCGGGCGCGGGGGCGCCCCCCGCCGCCGCCACGCGCACCCGGTACGCGGCGGCGGCCCTCAGCCCGCTGAGGGTCGCAGAGGTGCCCTCCGCCCACTGCGTCAGCTCGCGCCCCGTCTCCTCCTGCCCCCGGTTATAGTTCATTTCACCTAACCGCCAAATATACTCATCGACTAATGCCTAAATAATAACTTCGTAACTTTCATAACGACTCGTTGTAACGACTTCATAATGACAATGTAACTAACGGCCGTTCGTTGAATATAGGAACCGGGCTTAAGTCTAACCCCAACTTTCCGAAGGTCGATCAATTTTCATTTAAAATTAATGTCTTGTTACTTCAAAATCACCAATCTTTAAATATTTGCAGTGCTCTGGAGTTGAGATGAAACATTTAATTGATTGTATTATATCATTATAATAAATTGATTTAAATTTTTAACAGCATTGGCGACATCACTCGTTCGGATTATCGTCGTAAAACGATATTCGAAATTGTTTGTACGCTGTAAAGGACATAACAAACTATGGATGCGCCAAGCATTGTTTCAAATTCGTAAAACCAATGTAGATAAAGTGCGTTGAGATTTTCGTCGGTATGGCAATCAGCTACTTAACTTTGTGGTTGAAGTCTGGACCCGAATCCCAAATACGTGGGTTTGATTCCCACAAGGGCGAAAAACATTTCGTACTTTACTGATGTTACTGTTAATCAGCATTTCGAAGTTAAAAGACAACTGAAGAACGGAAGTAACTCACGTCGGTGTAGTAGACCGCGTATCTGGTGGGCGGGGCCGCCGATGCGAGCCCGTTGTGCGTCTGCGTGGGCGGGGCCCACCAGACGCGTGCGCTGTGTGGCCCCAGGGCCTCCACGTGCACGTCCAGCGGAGGACCATACGTCAGCTCTTCCTCTGCGGTGGTTGCTTCGATCATCTGCTCAGTGACAAGCGACCGGTTACAGTCCCTCGTAGTACGTAGTACTTTTTCTCTTTACCCAGTCTATTTTGTGTTTTGTGGAGAAGGGGTTGGGTAGTAATTAACAACGACCGCTGCGACCCTGAAGATCTATTGTAGTCTTCCCTTCGAAAACATTGTCCCTAACTGTAGGGTCACTTTATCCTGTGATGTTAGTATGTTTTACATACAAAAATTTCACGAGGACAAACATCCAGATCCTAAACAATTATCTACGGGTCACACAAACAGTTGTCTCGTATGGGAACAGCACCGAAGATCGACCTCCGATGCCGGAGCTAATATTTCTTCCCCGTTGTTTATCGGATCTACAAGCTACATGGCCGGTCCATCGCTGATGCAGGTGGCTCGGGATCTTACTCCGCGGTAGTATACAGGAGGGCCTATTTTCAGCAGTGGACTCAAACAGGCTGAAATGACGATAATGATTGCACTCTCTCCAAATGGTTAGTGTTGACGGATCAGCCGCTACTGTTGGAATATAGGAGGGAAGTAAACTGACTCACCTCCGAAGTTGGCGAGTGCGAGTGCTGGGTGAAGGCCATAACGGTGAACTGGTAAGTGGTGTTAGGCTGGAGCGAGGCGACGTTCATCTCGTGCCGCTGCGGGTTGCCCCTGGCGATGCGTTCGCTGCAATGGACCACCGACTTAGTCACCAACACAGCGAGAACAATTCTTGAATGTTTTGGTGGTAGGAAGTTAATAAACCATGCACAAAGAGTGCTATGTTGTTGCACGAAACGACAGGCTGGAAAAGTGCTACAGGCTCATAGATGACTAGAGAGAAGCGGAAGTATCGCGCTATCGTGTTTCATCTGGTGAGTGAGGTAACCAATTCCAACTGTACAATAGGTCGTCTCGTCAGGTTTGCACACCGTCCAGATGAACCGCCTGATCGCTTGGTAACTACTCACTTAAATAAGTCATCGGGACGAATTGAATACAACGCGAACAACCAGACGGATGTTATAAAATCACAATAGATATATAAATCTTTGCATGAGCAAGAACATAGACAGTAGCGTCAGAATTTCTGAATTTCATTCTTCTCTGATCTCTGCTATCTATACAAGGTGATGACTAAGAACATAATTGAGAAGGACAAGACTCACCGTTCACTTCCCTTGACCTTGTAGACGACAGCGTAACCGGTGACCTCCTCGAGTCTAACCTCTGGCTCCTCCCAGCTGAGCGTCACGAATCGGTGCTTCACGATAACCGCCCTTAGGGCCCTCGGCGCAGAGACCACTGTCGCGTTGCCCTGCCCGAGCTCGTCCAGGTCCAGGCCTTCGGTAGCGTGAAAGGAATCGTCAGCGTCAGTTTCGTCGTACTCGACGTCCGGCCCGGACGTGTACGCGGACGAGGTCTCGCCGAGGAAATCTAGGTCCTCCGGCATTGGATCCAAGGTCGGATCTGGCCCGCCGGAGAGGAGGCTATCGAAGATGTCGTGAGTGGAGTTCGGGAAGTGCGAGGAAGGGTTAGGGTTGGGGTTAGGGTTGCGGGTTTGTTTGGCGTCTGTAAAGTGGGCGAAGAGAAAAAAAGGAAAACTAAATGAAAAGTGAAAAATAATAATAAAAAAAAACAAAAGAAACTTAAAACAAATGAAAATTAAAATAACAGATAAAACAAAAGTAACAAAAGAAAAAAAAGGATAAACTGAACTGTTGTAAATAAAAGTAGAAAAAATAAAGTATAATAGACACGTGACAACATTTGAAACGCGTATTTCGTACTACAGTACTAGCGTACAAATAACGATTACTGGCACTGAAAATACATTTTGGAATGTATTCGCACTCGCTCAGCTTTCAAAATGGTTGCAGGATTAATCAGGACATCTGGATAATACGTAGGATAAGTAAAATATTGATATAGTAGGGTGGTCAGAAACAGCATGGCAAAATATTTACCGTCTATGACTATATAGAAAACTATAAAGATATAAAAAGAGAATTATAGACAACCGACGGTGGGCGATTTAATTATCTGATGCTCTCGCATCGCACGCACGCTGCGCTGGTCCAACTTCCAGCGAACGCGTTCAGGTTTAATGCAACGGTGCAGAGTACCGGCGACGGTGACCACTCACCGTCCGCCGGCGGCAGCACCAGCAGCCTCAGGGCGGCCACCGCGCTGCCAGCCGCCGAGTTGGCCGCGCACTGGAACATGCCCGCGTCCACGCGCAGCACGCCCTGGATGCGCAGCGACGTGCTGACGGGAACAAGGATAAAATGAGCACCACGATGTATTGCGAATTTATGCAGATAAATGAACCAATGGGTGTGATGATGGGCCGGCCATATAGCTCGTAGAACCGATAGCCGTTGGGGAAGAAAGGTTCTCGAGTGGCAGCCTCGTACTGGCCATCGCAGTGTAGGACGACCCCCCATTAGATGGAGTGACGACCTGTGCAAATGTGCGGGAAGTCGATGGATGCAGGTGGCTCAGGATCGTGCTTCATGGCAGTCTGTGGGGGAGGCCTATGTTCAGCAGTGGACTCAAACAGGCTGAAATGATGACGATGAATGAACCAACACTTTCGGCACCGCGGGATTCGAACCAGCTTATTCTGGAAATTTGTAGTAAAATGAACCAAAGTGCTGGGTAATTTATCTACAAAAATTCACAATTTTAAGATGAAAAATTTAATCTTGAGTGCAAAGACCAACGCTAAATATAGAAATGTTTTTTGTTGTGTTTTGTATAAAAAAAATATAAGCCGTTTAACTTATACGGTTTAAAATATATGCAACACTGTCCGTGATGAGTCTTCTCCACTGCCTGTCTATTAGAATACTGAATAATAGACTATTACGATGTCGCCTATATGGGGCCTATGTGGCCGTCGCATGAATTGGGGTGGATGGGAGCGTAGGTAGGGGGCTTAGACGGTAATTACTTAGTATTAGGGTAAAGAAGCGTAGGGGGAGCTTGGTCGTTAATTACCCGTCGAGGAGCGCGATGTCGCGGCTGTTGGGTTGGAGGATTTACTTAGTGGGGGGTCACCCTAATGTACCTGGAGGAGTTGTTAGTTGCGTAAGGGGGGCATGGTCAGTAATTACCCGTCGAGGAGCGCGATGTCGCGGCTGTTGGGTTGGATATATTAGCTGTACCTGGAGGAGTTTACCTGGAGGAGTTGTTAGTTGCGTAAGGGGGGCATGGTCAGTAATTACCCGTCGAGGAGCGCGATGTCGCGGCTGTTGGGGTTGAGCGGCTCGCCGTCCTTGAGCCAGGCGACGGCGGGCGGGGGCCGGCCGCGCGCCTCGCAGCGCAGCGTGACGTCACCGCGCGGATGCGCGCGCGCCACTGCGCCGCCGGGGAGCGTCACGCGCGGCGCCGTCTGTGCCGAGAGGCGTAGTGGATATTTAACCGGTGTATATTACTGTCTTATATGTGTCTTATATTACTGTCTCTATTACTATCTAGTCTATTATTGTGTGATGAACGTAGTGTCTTTCTAGTGTCCGGGTGTTTATATATGTTAAATATGTATTTATTAAGAGGAGGATGTTTGAGGATGTCCGTGAATTACCTTAATACTGTTTAAGGTTTTTATACACCACGTTTTCACCGAATTAATTCGGGAATGGAAAACGTGGTGTAAAAATGTACTCTCTCTTTCTCTATTCTTCCTTATTAACCTTTTGTAACAATAGCTTTTGTTCAAAGTAAAATTCATTTTAAAATAAAATAAAAATTTTAAGGTTTTCACTTCTGCCGGCAGTCCCCATGACCGATTATTTCTTCCAACAAGTAGAATCTACCAGTCTACCACTTCGCGGAAGAGAGCCGACACTTTCGGCTCCCTTTCGCGGGAGAGATACGTTACCAGCACTTGGAGCTGCGTGGAGTGGTCCGTGGAGTCCAGGCGGTTGTGGGCGCGGCAGGTGTATACGCCGGCGTCCAGGGCGCGCGCGGACTGCACCCGCAGCGAGCCAGACCCCACCAGGTAGAAGCGCGAGTCCAGGTCGCTGGGTTCAAGGGCTCTTTTAACAGGAGCGGAGGCTATTGAGTGGATCTACTACGCAACAGCTGTTCCACGAATGGACAGGCTAATCCGGGGAAGTACCACGGCCTCAAGGAAGATCAGCGCGAAGTGGATGTGTTATACATTCGCGTTTCTTGTGGCGAATGAGGTGACCGATGGTAAGCGGTCACCGCAGAATAGATGATTCGCAACACTAGTGGGGAAGTAGACACTAACACATTCAGGAATTTAGGTCCCCGATCATCTGGGGGATCAAACTTTATAAATACTTCTGTTCTCGTTATCCAGAAGTACCACAGGTAGATCATAGCATTATTTACATTACGAATTGGCTTTTGCGTCGGGATACCCACCAGCCCTTACAACATAATTCACATTTCGTGCCTTATCCCACGTAGCTGGGCTAAGTGGGATAAAGGCAGGGTAATGATATATAGTTAATATCATTGAATGAAAATGAATGATAGTGTCAATGAAACAAGTTAGCAATACTTTGGCGCCTACAACGACAAACTAGGTAGATTATCATAACAGCGCAGTCATCATCGCCATACACCATGATGTACTAACCATACATACGACACACATACCATAGAACAATGAACTCACTTCAGATCGATTGCCACACCGTTGTTGAGCCAAATCATCTCTGGCTTCGGGTTGCCCACCGCTGCGCAGTCGAACGTCACCGAAGCGCCTGAAACACCAAAGTTTGATACAACACTCTTTCCACACAACCTTCCCATATGAGTATGAGCCATCAAGTTGCAGGCAAGTGGGTGAAGGCCTCTCAATACCAAATAGCCCCAATTTGGCACCATATGCCAAGTCTAGACTAGCACCCGAGGAGAGAACATTCGTGCAGGTTGCACTGGCACCATATGGCTAGACTGGGATAGCAGTCATGGAGAGGTTTCAGAAGCATTAGTCGCAGCGGGTTCGTGGATTGCATCTTTGTGTTCCCGTGTCACCGGCCGATGCGACAGAGACAAGTGCAACTTGGGCTTTTAGAGGGTACCCGGTTTGACCGAGACTACCACATAACCCTGCTGCTCCCCTGATCTTCAAATTGTACAAAACTGATAGGCTTAAACTAAACTAGGACCGATATATGACTTGTTCTAACCAATGCCGTAACTTAATCCATTAAAATACAAATATATTTAGTAAGAAAATAATGATACTGATATTTAACAATATCACATTATACATGATATCACAGTATCAAAACCCCGACCGGCCACATCGAAGCCACTAAGCGAGTCCACATGCTGACCCTTAGTCCTTGTTCCCATTAAAAGTTTTACTGCTGATGAACAGGAATCGAACCTTCGATCACGGTAACTGGTTGCGGCACCGCTATGAACCGTGGCGGTGTCTCCACGTTCGACAGGTCGGTGTTGATCCGAAGGTCGATTTCAGGCCCCGCACTGGAAATTAAACCTTTTATTATTTACTATGCAACGCTTGTTTGGGGTACAGTCGGCACGAGTCGACTCCGGAACGAGAGGACGAGGAATAGACAACGCATCATTTCTATACTCGATGGGCGAGCAGGCAAGTACCGCGGACCTCAGACTTCTGCGTTTCGTCCTGTGAGCTGGGGCATACTTTATTAAAAGCAAGCAAAACATCTGCAAATCTTCGGGTGTTGCAAGTGTCAAAGGGCGGCGGTGATCATTTATATATTGTGAACCGTTTGCTCATTTGCCACCTTCTCATGTAAAAAAAAGACCAAAGACCGCACTCAATACATAATATCAACCAGTGTCACATTGCAAGGCGGCTCACACGTGCCTAGCCGGAGTGGTGGGCCACATTGTCAAAACCAATGGAGACTCCAAAGAGCGACGCATTAAATATCTACTGCTTAGCCGGCGCGTGGGTGGCGGCGGTCAAAGCCATTGGAGTCTCCAAAGAGCGGCGTAGTAGATATTTATCTGCCAGGGTCACATAAACGCCAGGCGGCTCACACGTGCGTAGGCGTCGCGTGGGCCAATCGGTCAAAGCCATCGAAGACTGCAAAGAGCGGCACAGTACATATCCATCTACCAGGGTCACATAAATGCATGGCGGCTCACAAATGCTTAGTCGGCGCGTGGACCAAACGGTCAAAGCCAATGGAGACTCCAAAGAGTGACTCAGTACCTACCAATCTCAAAAATGTAAGGCGGCTCACACATGCTTAGTGGGCGCGTGGGCGGCGGTCAAAGACAACGGAACTCCAAAGAGCGGCGCAGTACATATCTATTTACCAGTGTCACATAAATGCTAGGCGGCACATACGTTCTTAGCCGGCGCGTGGGCCTAACGGTCAAAGCCAATGAAGACTGCAAAGAGCGGCACAGTACATATCTATCTACCAGGGTCACATAAATACAAGGCAGCTCACACGTGCTTAGCCGGCGCGTGGGCCAACGCCACCAGGCAACGGTACTGGGCCGCGTCGTGGGGGCGCAGCGGCTCCAGCTCCAGCGCTCCGCTGGGCGTGAGCGAGATGCGCGCAGACTCCATGCGCACCGGAGAGCCGTTCTTCAGCCATGTCACCTGCAAACCAGGCGACAGGTCATCCAGCCCTGCAGTCTCGGGCTCATAGGATAGGGATAAGGTGTCCCCTGCCTGTCGTAAATGGCGACTAAAAGACTCTCGAGCTGCTGCAAGATGGAGAGACAATCGGGGAAGGCTTATGCTTCTCCGAGGCGTGCTCACGCGCAGTACTGAGGGACAGCGGTGCGTTCCGTAAGGGATCCCAGAGTCTATCCAAAGGTATAGAAGGTGGCCACCGAGAGGGTTACAGTGGGTAAGAACCCAACATAGCCCTGTCATGTAAGGTGAAATTGTATCTTTTAAAGATTTCCCCCCGTTACAAAAAAAGGCGGCGGGTCATCACCGCATCAGACCATTTTCAGAGCTTTACAATTGATAAGTATTTTGGAGCTTCTCTTTATCTCCGATCTACCCTATGAAAACAGATGTGTTGTCGCAATATTGTGGTCTCGTCTCAAACCTGGCGCGAGCTGACTCACGTTGAGTTTAAGGAGCGGGGGCTGTGTGTGCGTCTTGCCGGCGGCGCCGTAAACTCTCCTCTCGGGCGCGGCCGGCGCCACCCGCAGCGCCAGCCGGGGCGGAGCCCTAAGCGCGCACGGCAGCAGCGCACCGGCGCCAAGCGATCCAGACACCGTCCTTACGGTCTCCACGATCTCCGGTAGCTCTGGAAAACGGTCCACATTATCTTAATCGTAGTTTTTGTGGTGGAGCGAAGGCAAGTTGAGAGGGGCACAGCGTCACATACTACGCACCTTATGATTTAAGACCACTCGCATAAGTACGATTCAAGTTCGATGTGAACTCGACTCGTATATAATTATAATTTTAGTCCAAATATATTTAAATCCGTAATTTTTTGTCACTTTGCAGCTTAATGTCCAAAAACGTTGACCTAGGATGTGTTTCGAACTTGAGTACTTTACACATTTTTTGATATTTTATTTACTATCCAAATAATTCTGTGACAATGTTAGATTACTTCTCAATTATATTTAAAATAACGTGTCCTAGTGGTAGTAGATGACGGCCATCGTTACAGATTTGTTTTAGTCTGATATTAAGAATGTTGTGTGCCCTTTGTTGCAGATCAATTTATTGAAATAAACAAAATATAAAGTAAAATTTACCGGCTAGGAAGACAGTGGCTATTCTTGACACGATGGTGCCCACACCATCCTGGGTTGCGACGCACTGGTACTGCCCTGCCAGCGTCGTCGACATACTCTCGATAACTAGCGAACCGTTTGCGAGTTGTTTCCTGCCAAGGAATGAATAGATAATTTATATTTCAACATCTGTAGACTGTATTTTTTTTTAAATTCCATATTGCTCCAAATTATCCAGCGGCTCAAATGATGGCAAGTGATTACCCTGCCATTGCAGGTGCTTTGCCAGCCTTGGACGATATTTCTGTCACAAACGTGCAGTGTTACTGCAACTACTCGTATCGTTGTCCAAATATCATACGGGTCCAGGGTCATTTGTGAGATTAAAACACGATACTATGAAATATAAACACAGTAACACCAAACACACATTTGTCGGCTTGTCAAGTAAAAAAAATTAAGAGGAAGACCTAAAGATGTCATAGGTGAATGAATGTTAGCATTTACACATTTGAACATAGGCTTCCTGTGTTCAAATGTGTAATGCTAACATGCAGACTGCCACGAATCCAAGTATTCCTAAAGCTCAATGTCAAAAATCAATGTCGACGTTTTTTTATGTAAGAAGATAGTGATAACCACCACCCATTGACATATGCATCACCCGTAGGGTTGCAGTTGCGTTGCAACCTTATAACAAATGGTCCCCGGCTATCTCACTCGTCAGGCGAAACGCACAAGTTTACCACTTCGCGCCGGTCTTCTGTGAGGTAGTGACGCTTACCCGGACGGACCTGCCCATTCGTGCAGCAGCGCACGCGGTCGCGTGTCTATTAGATGACACTTCCACTCCGCGCCGGTCTTCTGTGAGGTCTTGGTGCTTACCCGGACGGACCTGCCCATCCGTGCAACAGAAGACTGTCGCGTGTCGCTACGCAGTCGTGTCTATTACCTGAAAGAGTCCGAAGTGGACAGCGTGTGGTCGCGCGTGGGCGGCGCGTTGGCGCTGTGCCTCCAGGTGACCCTTGCCGGAGACGGGGCCCCGCAGGCCAGCATCAGCCGCTCCCCAGGGGCGGCGACGGCATCGCTGGGTTCCACCGTCAGCCGCACGCCGCTCTCCAACTGCTCGTCTCCTAAGGTCGGGAACACATTTTAAGTATAATCAATAATCTTTGTGGTCGTCGTCATCCGATTGCCCTTAGTGCAAACAGCATTTATTTTATTGCACTAAAAAAAGTAGTTGTGTATAGTAAGTACTAACTGTCAAAGGAATTAATCAGTTTTTTTTTTTATTATACACCAGTATATCTCACAGATGGCAGAATTTTTTCCGATTTACTTGATATCATTATATTCTGGACAATTCATACAATATCTATGTAAATTATAGCGCATGTGTTATTCTGATCTATAAGCTATACTATTATAAAGTTTCTAAAGAATATTTTTGATATAATAATTTAAAAAGTATTTTCAAGATAATATTTGTCCGCCAATCCGCGGTGGGTTCGCTTGTGACTGTGCCCTAATATTTCCTGTAATAGGCCCAGCAGTGGGACTCATATAGGTGTTACTTCAAATTAGCTTTTTTTTTATATTTGTCATAGTTCAACATCTAACACGCTTTGAAATATTCCATATAGCTTTACATAACATTTTATTGGTGCCGTCACAAATACTAAATTCCAAATTTCAAATTAACTTAGCTTGCCATAAGCCTTAGTTGCAATGTCTAACATTCAACTTTATATTTACACGTAATATATACAACAGACTTTTCGAACCGTTGCAATCATTTTCTACAATACCAAAATATGCTTATGGCGTTACCACCGATACTGTCTTAACGACTACATAACCACAAATCAACAGGTGGGGGTAGTCAAACAGAAGTACACATTAGAAAACAAACATACACATCAAAAAACCGAATAGTCAACCAAGTTGAAACTTGAGGCAACTAAGAGATTTGTATGCAGGTGTGTGTACGTAGTATTAATGTCTAAACAAAAAGGTCGTCTTTAAATGGACTATCAATAGAGAAGATAAATAAATAAAGGGCTCTCCACAAAAGCCCTGTAGTAAAACAAACGAGATCTACGCGAAGCCACTCGAAGCACTTGTAAATATAGGGTTCCTCCATTAAAAATCCTCGAGTGCACTCGAATCATTTCCGAACTTGTGTAGTTCAAAGATTTTATGCTCGCTAATAAATCAAATGCAAACAACGAAACAAGATGGAGGGTGGTCGAAAGGGCGATTGTTCGATGCCTCGGGTTCAACCCCGGGGCTTGTTTACTTTTGGCGTGTTGTTAAGTGAATGAGGTAACAATATTTTTAAATCGATAATTCTGTAAGCATTTAAAAAAGAAACTAGCTTTTGTTCATTTAACTTGTTGGACGTTAATATTTAATCCCAATTTAGTCGACTCGTGTAGTATTTGGGACCTTCAGCCGACAATTTTTGATGCAACTGACAGCGAAAATTAAAAATAATTAATATTCAATCATAATTAATAGTTATATTAAACGGTGGTAGGGCCACGCAGCAGCCTCGGCTGTTGCACGAATGGGCAGGTTCGTCCGGGTAAGCACCACGACCTCACAGAAGACCGGCGTGAAGTGGAAGTATGACAAATACTTTCGCGTTTCGTATGGTGAGTGAGGTGGCCGGAGCCCAATTTTCAAAAGGTTGTCAACGCGTCTGCGAACCCTCGGGTGTAGCAGATGTCCATGGGCTGTGGTATTCACTTAACATCAGGTGAACCATCTGCTCGCTTAGCAACTTTTCACATAAAAAATATAATAGTAATATAACTAAAATTGGTTTCTAAGAATAAACAATAAGAAAAATTGCTTCAGCATAAGATTGTCATGTGTTGAAAAAGATGTTTTACGATGAATCTAGTGGATAGAGCGTCTGGCTCAGAATCAAATCCTAATATCGGCGAAACATTTTACCTAACTTATTAAACCTTAAGTGCAGACAGTGGCACTAAAAACAAAAATAATTATGAGTGAAATAACTTAATTTAAGCTACGAATATAATGTAAGAAATCGAAATTACAACAAAGAACTGCGAAGCGTAAACAATATTATACTGGAGAGGAAATGTACATTTGTTAATGTGCCAGCGACGAATTGCCATTAAAATAAACGCGGGACAGTTCTACTGCACAACCCGAAACCGCCACCATCCACGTAAATGGGCACACAACAAACATTACGCCAGACTACAAATGAGACCGTCTATGTTAATCATTCGCGTTAAACGTAAGCAATGTGGCTGCTGACGCTATATTATTCCATGCATGTTTAGTTTCTACCGACAGTCGGGGGTCGTCACTGAATCTCTGACGCGAATCAGTTATTTAACGAGGGCGACAGTCGAGCAAGTTCAATCTAACTTAATCTGTGTCGTCCTGAATTACAAACTCGCAAGGTTGAACTTTCGAGCGAAGGTGAATCATTTTAGCTACATTATCTGTGGCAGGGCCACGCAACAGTCTTCGCTGTTGAACGAATGTGCAGGCCCTCTCGGGAAATTGCCACGAATTCACCGAAGAAACCTATCGCTTTAACAAAAAGTTCTACTGGCGTTGCAGGTGTCCGTGAATGGCGCCTATCAAATAACACCAGTTAAACCGCCTGCTCTTTGCCGTATTCTCATATACATAAAACAAATATATGTGCTCGTTCGTACTTTGAAAATGAGCCCACCCTCGCAAATAAAACCTCAGATCAAATATAAACTATCTTTGTTAATCTGATCTGAGAACAAAACCATTTTGAAGATGGCATCTACGATACCTCAGGTTTTTTTTATATTCATTAATAAATAATACCTATATAAATATTGAAAAAAGTTATCTTGTTTAACTTGATGGCAAAATTACTAGAGTGTTTGCTTCGGCACAGGGGGTCTTGGGTTCGATTCCCTTATGGGATCTGGGTGTTTGTCGCCAACAAGGGTTAACTTCAGACAAGCGGCCTGTCGTAAAACATAGCCAATGCTATTAATACACAATTCACATGTTTTGCCGCCTTGGCATAGATGGGATAGAGGCAGGAGAAAGAAGAAGTTATCTAGTCTTAAACTAAGCAAAACTTTTACTATGGGTACTAGATAACTAGTTCACATACTTTATCTTTATAAAAAACACATATTATAGTTATAGGTAGTATATCAATCTATATTTCATTGTTACAACATAAATAACCAGCCCGTTTCGCTCACGTATTGGAAACGATAACGTAAGTGATCAACCACCAACAAAGCACTGCAACGAAAATACACCGAAGAATAAAGGCACTCTATACTCAAGACCTTTTTTAATATATTCGCAGCATTTTTTAGTATATTCCGTAGAGCTACTCAAACAACTCCACGGATGAGTCATTAAATGCACCTCTAACAGGGATTTTCAGAGTCAAAAGAGGTTAAAATGTTTACTGAATTAAAGCTATATCAAATTCTAATGGAAAACGGAACCTAGCATCGACGAACAAATTCCTTGTACACTTCTTAGGAAAGGAACTGGTAAAATTCCGTACAGTCAATAGAGTCATACGTTATTATTTCTATATTTAAAAAAAAAAACTGGTTTAAATACAGCAACCATAGATATCAAGAATTATTTTTGGTCCTCAAAGTTTAATCCACCGTATGAAGATTCTCTCCAACCGAGACCTATTTGGTTATTAATTTAGGAACCATTCGACAGACAATACGTCTCACATGTCACACTGGAAATATTCTTAAAAATAGAACGGAGAATGCGATCTACAGCAAGACAAGTCAGGGTCGCTTCAAACCAACCGTCATCGGGTGTCGATGTACGACATTACACCCGTTAACAAATGCAATATCGAATATCACCTCAACTGGTATAAATCAAGATACAGATCCCCTCATACAATCATATTCAACTGTACCGTTCGCACAGCAAGAGCTAGAGCAATTGACCCACAAAAATGTTTCAGAAGTTGGTAATTCTATCCGGAATCCTCATGTCCGCCGCCTGCATGGTGCTACACCAGCCGCCCTTGCCCCTCTACCTACCGCTGCAGTATCAAGAGCCGACGCCCAATTACAACTTCGCCTACGAAGTCAACGACGAGCACACCGGAGACTACAAGAGACAGCAGGAGAGTCGCAGGGGGGACGCTGTTCTTGGCCAGTACTCACTGCTGCAGCCGGACGGAATCACGAGGACTGTGGAATACAGAGCGGACGACCACACTGGATTTAACGCGGTGGTGAACAACGTTGGAAGGCCGAACAACGTCCAGCAGGAGAGACAAGAGGAGAATAGCAACACCGAAGCTAACAGGAGGCCCGACGAGCGACAATCCCGACCCGAGCAGAGCTGGCAGACTTCTAACGACCAGCAGGTCCCCAGGTCCCCTTCGACCATTTCCCACACATCTCTCATTCAACATGTTCTTCGGAACTTCTCGTAATTGGTATTGAGCCCACGATTTTCAATGACAACATTTTTACCGGACACCGACTATGTAAGAGCAATATTCTTCCTCTGTTTTGACATATTTAATCAGATTAACGGTAGCTGGTCTGCTTTGTCTGTAATAGTATCTTGTTTTTTTCTATCACTTCTTATAAATGTAACAGTCGCGAACACTACTATCTCTTACCGTGCGTCTTAAGCAAATTATGTGTTTGAATTGTCAACTAATTATTTAATTTCGTGAATTTCATCTATCTTCTGTGCCATTTTATAAGAAAGTGTATTTAATAAAAATCATCGCTCTAATATGTCTCTTTAATTCATTATTCATAAATAACAGTTTTAACGTGGTATGAATTATTAAAATCAAATCTTATAAACGAGTAATTCTTGTATTTATATTTATATATACACTTATTTTTTTTACTTATTTTTCGATTCCAGATCATTGCTTTCTTTATTTTTTATTTTTTGTCGATCCAGATGATTTTCTTTTATTTTTTTCCCTTTTTTAAAGTTCTTTCGAACACCAACCAGTTCATATTTTCTTATTATTACGTCGGTAAGATTGAAAAATATTATGCATACTTCATTACTCAGTAATTTGTATCTAAATGTAATTTCCAAAATACATGATTTACCAAAAAAAAAAACCTAGCAAAGCTCGGTCCTCCAGGTACTGTATAATAAATGAGATAAGATTTTAGAATTAGGAGAGAAGTTCCCTACATTGTACTTTCATTACACGCGTCAACTGAAAATCATCGAAATGACAATAATAAAGATTGACACTTTCGCAGAAGGCGAGGACCGTAAAATGGTGATTAGCATCAAAATTCTCGTGAATAATGCAATAGGCAGGTAGAATAATTTTTTTGTACATAATATCGAAAAGAAAGTTATATATAAGAATATAATACCTGTATTTATTTTTAGGAATATTATCACGTCGTCATAACTCTGACTTTATTCTTTTTTTTGTGTGAGAATGGTGGCTGAAGGTGGCCAAGCGAGCTGGTGGTTCAGCTGATGTTAACTAATAAGCGGGACCCATGGACATTAGCTACATTCGTAGGGATGCAAATGCTTAGTGGCTAAAGCGTCAGGCCGCGAATGCCAAAGACGTGGGTTCGATTCCCACAGGGGCGATAATCTTTTCGTTCTTTTTCTACAAGTTTTAATGTTTAATCTTAAGTGCAGAGATTAGCACTATAAAAAACTTAAAAAAAAGACGAAAAATGTGTTACTCCATTCGAAGGATATACATACCTACATACACAGGCATATTACATTACAGTTAACGTGTCTTATTCGCTCCCTTTGTTTGAATAGCGCCGACAAAGAGAGTAAGCCTCGAGATGACGCTGAAATCCGCAGCGACCTCGTTACTTATTTAACTAGCTCGGGTTACGCGCGAGTTGAACCTAACTTTAATAGACCTTTGAAGTTAGAACCTTGGCAGGGTATATTGATACGTCAACGTTGAAATACTAATCCAAGAGGGAATAGCAATAGACTAATGACAAAAGAAAATTACTGTTGATAATCGCGTGGGCTAAAATAAGACAGATTATATCTGAACCATTATATATATCTGTACCATTATATTCTAAACTGATATTTTTAAAAAGATCAACTGTAGAGTTTCTTGACGGTTTCTTCTCAACAGAAACTGCTTTGCGAATCGGTGGTAACTTACTTACGAACGTATTAATTTTTATGTAAAATTTTGAGGTTTCATAAGAACGCGCAAGCGTCTATGTGAATAAAGATATTTTGAAATTGAATTTGTATTTAAATTAATGTTTCGAATTTAATTAATTAATTAATCGGCGAAATATACACTAACAACGTAAAAGACTATATGTTCTTATTATTAAAAAATCTGGCGGTCGAAAGCCTACAATTAATTAATTAATAATCTTAACGATAACTTGGTTATTTATTTACCCTGGGCGAAAGATAAGTTCCACTAGAGACAAGTTTAATTTGTGTTTATAAACTTCTACGGCGTAGATTTACTTAGGGTTGCCACCCGTACTATAATATATATATATATATATATATATATATATATATATAGATATATATGACGTCGCCCGTTTCCTATATTTATCATGTTAGCAGTAATATGTATTGAGTTTTTGAACTCAAATTAGTAAAATGGCAGGCTTTTTAGGTGAATATAAAAAGTTGTAAATTATTTTCTCGAAAACTATAAGCGATCGGAAAATTCTGCTTGTTGATTATTTCATTAGTTATTTACACCGGGCGCTAATGGAAAATTTTACCTTCGAAAAAGATATTTTAATACGGATTCTTATGATTATTTCGAAAATAATAGAACTTTGCTGGCCAAAGCAAAAAGTAATTATAAGCATGCATAGAAAATAAAATATTAACATAAATATTATAATTATAACAAAAATAATAAGAAATAAATGTGTAGTACACATTTATTTCTTTAAAGTACCAAAAATTACTATATTTCTAATGTGTAGTACACATTTATTTCTTTAAAGTACCAAAAATTACTATATTTTTAAATTACTATATTTTTATCACTTAGAAAAACTAATACTTACTTTATATTCTTCAAAAAAAGGCAACCCTAGTTTCACTTATCCAATTGCAGGATTTAAAAAAAAGGAATGAAAATTGTTGATGGAACTAGAACTAACCCACGGGTTTGGACACTCCGCTATGGGTAGGGTCGCGCATGTGCTCATGCGTGCGTGTAACTATGGTGTGTCATCTAAGTGCCGTAGAGGTCGCGGTTCGGACCGAGACCCCTTATCTTTTAATGTTTTCTTTTTTATTATAACTTGGCAAACATGGATATGTCCAATAGCTGAGGAGTTGCAGATGCTTTGCCCACATTAAAAAAAACCGCACGCACGAAGGGGTCCGTAACATTATCTAAATAAAGACAAAGCAAAACAAAAAATCGTCGTCGCTCGTCGAGGAAAGGGTTCGAAACGTTTCAAAAACAAAATAAAAACGCGATAAAATCCGTTTCATTTAATAAATAATAGTGTACTTCTAACACTGTATAATATAAGCGTGATTGTGTAGGTGTTAATATTGTTAGATTGATTAGATTGATGATGATCGATAGATTGAATAAAATGTTCCAGTCAGATCAGGGCATATGTCAAAGTAAGCGTTGTATTATCTGTGGTAAAGAAAACATTCCTTTAAGTTTTTTTGTACAACCTTATTTGAATCTTAAACTCAATTACATTTGATTAGAAGATGATCGTAAGACAGTAGAAAAACGGACGTAGAACCCTTCGATTATTTCACAAGATTTGTTACAAAGTCATTGATAACATTTCTGCATTGGTATGGATATTTTATAACAATCACCCAATCTTCAGGGTCGCATTCCAATACCGTAGTCCGGCGCCACCTATCAAACGTATTGCGGTAAGCGATATCGTATTTCACTTCACACTATATAAATACTCACATTGAAAATTGGATCAGTCACAGTCAACTCGCTCGTTTCGAAGTTCACACACCGCTAAAACTTTAAGATGGCTCAAAAGTTGGTTATCCTATTTGGACTCTTCGTGTACGTCAACTGCTCGTTGCTGCATCAAGTGCCTATACCGGTCTACCTGCCGCTGCAATACCAAGAGCCAACGCCCAACTACAACTTCGCCTACGAGGTCGGAGTCGCCCACAACGGAGATTATAAGAGACATCACGAGAGCCGATTAGGAGATGCAGTGCTGGGCCAGTACTCCCTCCTGCAACCTGACGGGGTGACGAGAACTGTTGATTACAGAGCGGACGATCATAACGGATTCAGCGCAGTAGTCAGCAACGCCGGTAGACCAAACAACGACCTCTCAGATAGACAGGTGGAAAACGTTAACGATGCACCCGGAAGACAGTCGGAAGAAAAACAAACGGAGCAACCCTGGCAATCGAACAACGACCAACAGGTCACTCAGGCACCTTCGACCTTAGCACATACTTCCCTCATCCACCACGTTATACGCAAATGGTCATAAATCAATCAAGTCTGCTGAAGAAGATTCACAAGCAACGAAAAGAAATTCTGCCTACCTGTGTTCTAAGTTCCTATGTATCATTCAACTTTTCTATATAAAGGTTCAGAATGATCCTCATATGTTTAATAGCAGTGGATAAATCTCTCTATACCATGTCTGTAAGAAAAGTATTTGGATTTTCGAGTGTTCGTCTATGCAAATATTAGAAAGTTTTCACAAGGAAGGCTGTAAGAGAGTACAATGTACACTTACTTAATTAAAATAATCTTTATAGAAGATTTCCGATTTTTCTTGATTTCGTATAACGCCCAAATGCATCATTTAATGTAACAAGACAATATAAAAAGATAAAAATAGCAAAGAGTTGTCTGGCAAATATCACCGAATGGAATTAAGTCCAACCTTTGTAATCTCTATGCTGTTGCCTAAATGATAAGTTAATAAATTTGCTGTCAACTTTAGAAATAAAAACGTTTTTTCCATTAAAAAAAAATATAGCTATTTTACAAATTTTATTGTATGAAATTTTGTTTCTAAATTCTGTCACTTCAAGAAATATCTAGAATTCGAGTTAACTCAGATAGCCTAATAACCAATATGCAGGACAGTGAAAATAAAAAAAAATTCAGACTAGCTTTTCGCTCGCGTATATAAATATTTTCCTTAAAAAAATCCAATTAATAATAGCCTATCTGTGTACCAAATTTCATTTAAATCGGTTGAGTAGTTTTGGCGTGAAAGTAAGACAGACAGACAGAGTTACTTTCGTATTTATAATATTAGTATGGAAGTATGGATTACTCACTTTACCTAACAACATTCACTCTTGCCATTTGCAGTGAAAAATGTATGTGCTTTTATAATCGTTAGAAATATGTCGGATAAGAGATATGTTTAAATTGTCCTTTACGAGTTAGTCATAATTTTCTATGTTGACATATTATGTAGTTAATAAACTCAGTTAAGTACTACCAAAGTATTATTAGCAAGCAAATATCGGCGTATGAAAATTTGGATGCTTTGGAAAGCATCAGTGCTAATGAAGATCACAGAGAAAGAGTGATACGTATTCTACCTCCTCCTGTTGATCCCGACTGACCAACCGATGAAGATACGGAGAGAAAAGATGATTTGAACGTTAAACAACTTTCAGGGAAATCTACTACTTGAACTAGCATATGTATCGATACAAGGACAAGTTTCGTTAAGCGGAAACGGGACTCGGAAAATAATTCAGTGAATTTACCTGAGGTCGAAGAAGCTCTTCAAGATAAGCGCCGCATTAATGAATGAATTCAGTCATTTCCTTGTTACTGTAGAGAGTAACAAATAAGCCATTATAAATAATTTCCCTGAAGACGTAACCGCTGAGTATGGAAACTTATAATTGATCTTCTGTATTATCCAATACTTTCCTTATTTGCTATCTGTTAGATTTCCTAAAATTAAAATAAAATATACAATATAAACAAAGAATGAGTTGATAAGCTTTAACTACGACTAAGGACAGATTTGACTTATTTTAAATATTAAATGGTCTGTGACCATGAACGCTGGAAAGGGTTCGAAACGTCGGGAATTTAAAAATCTAATTAAACGCTATAAAATCCGTAAAATAGTTTCATTTAACAATGTATAATATTCGCGTAAAACAAGAAATCAATATATAAAAGTATGCTCACTCGTTATTATAATAAAAGTTTTTGGATTATTCTATCATCCATTGTTCACATGTTATTGCTCAAATATATGATTGATTACCTAACAAAAGGCACGGCAGTTGTATAAAATAAATCACGGAAGACTTCATCAACTCTGTTCGGTAACTGCATTTAAGAATTCTTTTTATTTTTATAAATTTAACAACTCTTATTCTAATTAATACAAAAATACCATAATAATAAAACAATACGAAAAGTAGAACAAAAGTGGAACAGGGTTTTTTTTTGAAAAGGCATTAAAAATCAGCGCGTGGTGTTTCATTTTCAGTATTCGCATTAAGATCATTTACAAAGGACGTCATTTTTCCTTTAGGATTCATTAACAGAAACACCTCTTGCGTGCTAGTCATTCACGGTTGGTAATTAAAAAGTACACTGGTGCTCACAGAAATGTTAACGTTACCAAAAAACACGGAGCGAGCCGACGCCGTGCGCACACCAGTTTCGCGATCAAAAGTATAAACAATGCAAGGCAACAATGCACCATTCGTGTCAGCGGTTGTAAATCATCGCTCCAATTTCATACAGGCCTAGTGAAAGAAAAGGGTAGCTCTCAGGGGCAGAAAGACTTCATAGTCGAACTATGGGGTAAACGGGTACGTCGTTGTTAACTTTACGGCATATAGACTCTAGTTGCTGATGATTTATATACAGAGAAGCTTTCCTAAGTGTATCCATGTTTTTAATTAAAAATAATAAATATTTAAAATCACTTGTAATTAATTAAATACACTCATTTTAACTTATCTCAAAAAGTGCGTGATTTATGGGCAATTCATTTATTTACGCGCGATCATTCATAACTAAGACGCACAAAGTTCGTTTCAAAAGTGACGACGCATTTATGAATGACTACCGCATTGTCAACAGTTCTGTTTTTTAGGGAATAGAATTGCAATATTTTTGAAAAAAAAAAAAAGTTGTTTTTAATTCAATAATCAATTATACTACCGAGTCAGAACCTCCTGTCTGAATTTGGACACCTTTAGAAAAGCCACCCTGTATGAACAAAACTTTAGCCAAATATTTGTATACTTATAATGTGGAATAAATCTGTCTTAAAATATATTATTGCTAACACTAATAAAGGCTCTGATTGTTTAATAACAAAATTATCTCGTTCGTAAGTGAGTGGTTGTGGTCAGTCAATTAAAACGGATCTTTGTTAAAAAATATTTCATTGCGGTTCCGGCGCCGGAGGGGTTCCATTCCCACACACACAAGTATTTGTGACCTACAGATATTTGATCCTATTTTGGAAATAAATATGAATGATAATAAACAGACAAAATTCAAAAATCAGATGTGCAGTGTCTCAAGTTTGATTTAGTTCATGCAAAAAATAGAAAACATATTTTTACATACAAAAGTATATTGCATGCTGAGAATAGAAAAAACGAAGCTAAAGCAATAGCTGCTAATGGGTGTGAGAAGGCCTATTTCTGAATTGGGGATGAGTAAACTAAAAAAAAGGAAAAAAGTAAATTGCAATAGATATATTTAATATTTTACTAAATGAGATGAGTGACTTGAGATATATTCGTCACTCAATGCGCTCGTTCTCACAACATGAGCTCATGATTATTTTCCATTGTATCATTATTTATCCCTCACGAGATAATTATTTAACTTAGAAGTTTAGTATACCACCTTAATACACATTTGTCTCATAAACACGTGTCCTATAAAAAATGTAAATATAAAAATATAAGCCTATAAAATGGTCAGCGATTTTTCAACAGTTTATCTTGATGGTAACTCAGATCCATGGGTTGGAGAGACCAGTGTAAGACCGATGAATAACTGAAGTGTGGGCGACGGTGATTGGCGCTGACGTCACTTGCTGATCGTTAGGAGGCTGGCGAAATTGTTCGGTTTGAGGTCTGTCATTTGCTTGCCTGCTAGAACCATCGCCTGCATTTTCCTCTTCTCGGTCCGAAGGTGCATTGTTAGGTCTTCCCTCGTTGTTGACTACTGCGTTGAATCCTGTGTGATCATCCGCTCTGTAATCAACGGTTCTCGTCACTCCGTCCGGCTGCAGAAGCGAATACTGGCCCAATACTGTGCCTCCTTGTCTGCTCTCCTGCTGTCTCTTGAAATCACCAGTCTGTGGGTCGTTGACTTCGTAAGCGAAGTTGTATTGCGGCGGGGGCACCTCATGATACTGGATAGGAAGGAACACAGGCAACTGTGCTTGATGCAAAACCATGCATGAAGCTGACATGATCAACACATAGAGGACTATCACGTTTTCAATCATTATGATCCGAGTTAGCTTGTCTTGTCTCCACTACTGTTCAATTGAGAATGTTGGACTGGAGGAATTGGATCCGAATATATATCTTGGGTCCGTGTAACGTAAAACCGTATTTAGAAATATAACTCACAATGATACTTGCTTAGTGCATTCATTACTTTCATGCGAGTGTTGTCAAGGCAATGTATCAGTTACCATGCACCACTAACAGTTAGTTGAAATCCGGTAAAATCTTATCATTTCTATCTACAAATAGCTGACCTGCGACTCTGTTTACGTTGCTTATTATTAAACGGTTTTATTTAGCTTGAGTAAAATGAAAAATAAAATCTTTGATATGAATGAAACATTAAATCGTTGGGCGTTTGAAAGTCATCAAGTCCACTGCTAAATTTCTACGCCATTTACATATTTGCCCAGATTACACGCGCCCAACAATTATATTTTTTTGTCTGATCAATGACCGATGATGAGGAGGAGAGTGGTGTGATGACTAGTATCTAGGATCTACCGAATTATTTTTAGCTTTAAGTACATTATTTACATCTTTTTAATCTTTATTTTCAATAAAAGCTTAAATTTTTTACTCATTTTTTATTAACAATTTTATGTGCAGATAAAAAAAAACATCATAAAGATCGGAACTTCTTCAGCCCACTTCCTGAGGCAAGAAAACACTCATCACTGGGCATGTAGTGTAATGATTATAAAAATTGTTGTTTCATTTAATTTTATTAAATTCAAGATATCACATTTTTTTATACAAGGGCAAAGTATCTAAGAAACAAAAATTAGAAAAGTTAATTAAAATCAAACCTAGAGTTTTAGTTCTTATGCGCGCACAACGACAGACCTATATTATTTTGTTTATCTTGTTATAATATGTAATAAAAATGGCAAGCGAGCTACTATGTTCTTGCTGTTTTCCATACAATCATTTCTTTTGACGGTAAATCTGTGGTAAGACATGTTGTCACATGCCTTCAGACAGGCAAACAATAAAATATTATTTCATTTTC